GGTGGGCAAGGGAAAGTGGCCAAAAGCCTTTTGGCCTTTGGTGATCCTTTGGTTGAATGTTTTTCTTCCTGCATCAAGTCTTTGGGAGCTATGGGAACAAGTGTGTTCTGTGTCCATGGAACAGCAGAAAACGCCAAGATGTGTCTTCTTCCAGCACTTCTCTTGGCTCTTCCTTCACACTGCTGGCACCGTCATCAGAGACATGGAACAGCTTCTCTCATGCCAGCGTTATCCCAATCTTCTGCACTTCCCCAGGTTCCTCCCAGCTTCACCAGGGAAATTTTCTGCTTGTGCCTGTCCATTCCCTTGCTCAGAATGCAGCACCCGCTTGTCTTTGGACATGAGCTGCTGGCCACAACCTGACAGGCAGCAACTGGAGCATTGCGCATCAGATGCTGGGCTGATGTTCTTTCCCAGAAAGCAAGAAAAAACAGAAGGACACAAGGAAACTTGACAGTATCTCTGTAAGAATGTCATTGTCCTCTGGAAGTCAACAGTGGATGGTGTTTTTGTGTCGCAGATTATCACTTCCAAGCAAAAATCATTCTAGGAAGGAGCAACAGCTTTTGACAGATACCAAGTGCGGCTACCAAGTGCTGCTCCAGGTGCTCCTGCCTGCAGCCACCTGCAGAAATGATCACAATTAGAGAACACCATGCTAAATTAATGAGGACAATTAGGGAACAGCATGTTAATTTCAGGAGCACAATTAGAGATCACCATGTCAAATTTCACGAGGACAGTTAAGAAACACCATGTTAATTCAAGGAGGACAATTAGAGAGCATCGTGTTAAAATTAATGAGGCCAATTAGAGAACACTGTGTTAATTTCAGGAGCACAATTAGAGAACACCATGCTAAATTCACGAGGACAATTAGAGAATATCATGTCAAAATTAACAAGGACAATTAAGGAGCTCTGTGTTAAAAATAACAAGGATAATTAGAGAACACCATGTTAATTTAAGGAGGTAAATGAGAGAACACCATGTTATTTTAATGAAGATAATTAGAGAATACCATGTTAATTTAATGAGTTCAATTAGAGAATACCATGTTAATGTAGGAGGACAATTAGAGAACACCATGTTAAAATTAACAAGGATAATTAGAGATCACCATGTTAATTTCAGGAGCACATACTAAAATATCATCAGAGGCTGTGAAACAGCAGGGCGGAGACACAAGAATAAATAAAATAAAAAAGTAAAACCAAAAAAACCAAAACAAAATAAAATAAAATAATATAAAGTAAAATAAAATAAATTAAAATAAATTAAAATAAAATAAAATAAAATAAAATAAAATAATAAATCCTAACCCTCAGGATGTCTTTGAGCCGGAGAGTGAAGGAGTCAGGCAAAGGAGCTCCCAAAACCTCAGAAATTTTAAAGAATGTTTGAAAACTGAAAATCGCAGATTATATGACTGGCTTTTGGCAAATATTAAAATTAATACATGATGTGTTATGTTGGAAAGATATGCAGTATTAATCTCTTAAATTTGGCTGTAATAATATTTTTTAAATTTGGCTGTATTAATCTCTTTTTCATTTTAATAGCGCAGTATTAATCTCTTTTAAGTTTTGCTGTATTAATCTCTTAAATTTGGCTGCATTCATCTCTTAAATTTCTCCTGTATTAATATCTTTTCAGTTTTGCTGTATTAGTATTTTTAAACTTTTTCCTGTATTAATCTCTTTTAAGTTTTTCCTGCACTAATCTCTTTTAAATTTTTCCTGTATTAATCTCTTTTCAGTTTTGCTGTATTAATCTCTTTTAAATTTTTCCTGTATTAACCTCTTTTAAATTTTGCTGCATTAATCTCGTTTAAGTTTTCCCATATTAATCTCTTCTAAATTCTTCCTATATTAATCTCTTTTCAGTTTTTCCTCTATTAATCTCCTTTAAGTTTTGCTGTACTAATATTTTAAATTTGCCTGTATTAATCTCTTTTATTAACCTCTTTTACATTTTTCCTGTATTAATCTCTTCTAAATTTTTCCTGTATTAATCTCGTTTCAGTTTTTCTGTATTAATCTCTTTAAAATTTTTCCTGCATTCATCTATTTTAATTTTTTTCCTGTATTCATCTCTTTTCAGCAGTGTGGCACATACACTTTTTAGCCTAGAGGACAATATTAAAAGAACAGCAACAGACACCAAAATCTCAAAAAAAAAAAAAACCAAAACATTGTTGCCTCCTTCTCTGGAAATCTCAGATTTTCAAAGATTGATTTACGAGTAAAAGTAAAACTCCTAAAATTTCAACACAACGAGTTTTTCACAAATAACAAAATCATGACTATGCACACGCCTCAGCGCTGTCACCCTGCTGGAATTATTCTCCTTTTTTTATCCTATTACTGTTATTCTTATTATTAATAAACTTTAAAAACTCCAAACCGTCAATTCTGTTCCTCACACTTTCAGACCCAAACTTCCTTACTTTGAACCCAAACTCACTTTTCACACCAAAATTTTCCCCCTGCCTCCCTGGGTTGAATTTTTAAGGTCAGACTCCCATTTTTTAAAAATCCAGATTCTCCTTTTTAGGTCCAAACTGCTCCATTTTTCTGCTCAAACCCTGAATTATGGCCCAAATTCTCCATTTTTGGACCCAAACTCCCCCTTCTGGGGTCCAGACTTCCCATCTGGGCACCGAAATTCCCCTTTATGAGGCACAAATTCCCAAGATTTTTTTGTCCAAATTCTCCCTTTTTGAAACCGAATTTCCCTTTTTCGGTCCAAATTTCCCCTTTTTCTTGCCCAAATCCCCTTTTTGGGCCCAAATTCTCTCTTTTTGGACCCAAATCCCCCTTTTTGAGCCCAAACTTTCCCTTCCTGGACACAAATTCCTTCTTTCTGTGCCCAAATTCCTCCTTTTTAGACCCAAACTCCCGTTTTCACCCCAAAATCTCCTTTTTTGGCCCCAAATTTCCCCGCTCGGACCCGCCAGGTTGAGTGGTACTCCCCGCTCGCTTCCGGAACTGCATTTCCCATCACCCCTCTCTCCAATTTCCGGTGTAAACACCGCCTTCTTTCCTTTTCTCTTGAGGCGACTTCCGGCCGGGTGCCGCGCTGGCGCCGCCATGTTCCTGCAGTGCTACGAGAACGAGCGCGGGGAGCGCGTCTACACCCTGCGGGTACTGGGCGCTTTTTGGGGCGCTTTTGGGGGGATTTAGGGGATGGCTCTGAGGGGACCCGCGGTGTTTGGGTGTCCGCGGTGCGGGCTGGGAGCCATGCGGGCCAGTTGGACTGTGCTGAGGGGGGGATTTGGGCTCTCCCTGACGCTCTGTCCCCACAGAAGGTGTCCCCGGACGGGGTCCCCACTCGCTCGGCGCACCCCGCCCGCTTCTCCCCCGATGATAAATTCTCCCGGCACCGCCTGGCCCTGAAGCGGCGCTTCGGGGTTTTGCCAACGCAGCGAGGCCGGACCGTGCTCTGAGGCACCGCAGAGATCCGCTGCGGAGCCCCGAGATGGCCCCGAGCTCCTGGGACGGATCTCCGCCATGAGAAAAGGTCAAATCGCCATGCCAGCGGACTGCACGGAAATGGGGGGGAAAGGAACGTTTTAAAGAGGAGGAAAAATGAAGTATTAAAAGTCGAGGGTCTCTGAGTTTTGGTATCCAAATACCTTGGGTTTTTTTTCCTGTTTTGGGGGTATTTTTGTGGTTTTTAGGGTCTGGGGAGGGAATTTAGAGGGGTATTGGGGGAAGCGCTAACGGGGCTCTATGGGGCGCGGGTATAACAGGGCTCTATGGGGCGCGGGGGATGATGGGAGTTGTAGGTGCGGGTATAACTGGGCTCTATGGGGCGCGGGGGATGATGGGAGTTGTAGGTGCGGGTATAATTGGGCTCTATGGGGCGCGGGGGATGACGGGAGATGGAGTCGCTGCTTTAATGGAGCTGAATGAGACCGCGAGGCATCACGGGAAGTGGAGGCATGGCAGTAAATGCGCGCGATGGGCGCCGCGAGGTATGATGGGAGCTGTAGTCCCGGAAGTGGCTGTAGCGGAGCGGTTGGGGGTCCGGGAGGGCACTTGTGGGTCTACAGGGGCACCCTGTGGGGTCGGGAAGCCCCTGGGGGCACCCGGGGAGCTCTGAGGGGTGTCTGTGGGGCGCAGGACGCGACGGGAATTGTCGGGCCTGAACTCGGCTCTGAGGAGGCTCTGTGGCCGCGGGGCATGACGGGAGCTGGAGTCCTAGCTTTAATGGCGCTCCGTGCGTACCGCGATGCATGGTGGGAGCTGTAGTCCCTTTGGTGGCACTCGAAGGCCTCTGTGTGGTTTGCGGCATCTGCGGGTCCGAGGAGCGTTCGGGGGTCCCGAATGGGCTCAGGAGGCACTCGGGGGTCCCGCAGGGTCTGGGGGGCTCCTGTGGGGCGCATGGAGGCGGATAAGGGGCGCCGGGCCTGACGGGACTTGTAGTCCTGGCTCGGTTAGGCCGCTATGGGGCCGCTGTGCACGACGGGACTTGTAGACTCAAAGTCGATAAAATGGTGCCGGCTCCAGGCCCCGCCTCCAGGTGCTGTTCCCGGGCGCTGATTGGTTGCAGACGGTGATGGGCGGGAGGCTCAACCAATGGGAGGCGGCGGAGGCGGGGGACCAGCCCATTCAACCCCTCCAGTCCCTCCCAGTACATCCCAGTTCATCCCAGTACAGCCCCAGTGCCCCTCCAGTTCATCCCAGTACAGCCCCAGTGCCCCTCCAGTCCCTTCCAGTTCA